ACGCATAAAATTCATTGTAAAAACCCTATCCATTACGAGTCTAAGGTTAAATTCAAGATTCATGCACCTGCTTTTGATCAGTCATGCGTATCTGTTCTGATATATATATATATATATATATATATATATAGACGCACTATCACTGCCTGTCAATAAAATCTTGTCAGAGTACGAGGGAGACAATCCACTCGTGAACTTAACTCGGCCACGTTCCAGATTTAGATGTACGTGTGGGATTTCGATAAGAAATGTTTTGAGAAAGTGATCTGTATCGTATCTCAACGATCATGGTACTTGTCATTAAATTACAATGGTGGTTGTAGTGTTATAATAATTGTTTTTTAAAATAATTTTAATTTAAAAATATATTGAAAAATTAAACAATATAAAAAAACATTAAAAAAATTAATTTGAAATAAAAAAATTTTTTTAAAAAAATATTTTTGAAATAAAAAATAAATTTATATAAAACAATTATATTGATGTAATATATAATTATCATGTTCCTTATGCATAATCCAATAACTTGCACTTTAAGAGTGACAATTCAACTGTTGATCTTGATTAAGATTGGCGCAAGGGTTTATTTGCAAAGCTTGAAATTCAGAAGAATCAAATTAATCCCGTTGCTTCTGTCTGATGGCACCAGATGCACCGAGATTTATTTAAGTGATTTGCAGAGCAATTTAGTCATCATCGATCATCTGGACGCCATTGACGCATGTCCATGAAGCAGTCGGAAACCCTGAAATTAACTTGCAATATTACCGGCAAGTATCATCAACAACTGTTATATTTTAATTATTGAAGCGGTAAAACTTATTGATCTAACTAAGTTTTTAATGATATAATTCAACCGAAGAAACTTTAAGATTAAAAAAATAACATTATTTTAATTAAAATAATTTATTTAACATGATAATCAACATGTTAATTTACCCAATAAACTACACTTTTTTTCAATCAGTTCCAAGGCAGTTCTTACAACTATTATCCGAGAGCGGGGGACTTTTCTAAGATGACAGTACGGACCCTAAACATGGTACATCTTTTTTGTAAGGATAAGGGTTTCTGATTGAATCCTCGTTTGTAAATTGTAAGATAACTGCTTGGGCCTTGGGGTTGGATAGAGGAAGGGAAATTAAACTGACCTAATATCGTCCACACGCGCGATGTCTCTCATGGATATGGACGTACAGTGCTTCCTACCTCCGGTGTACCAACCTGTGATAGCTCACACGTGTTTGGGTCCAGTGAAGGTGACAGTGGACTTTTGTTTGGTGGTGGTGGGGGCGGCGGGTACGGCGGACCCAGCCCACACGAGGGGACATCTGAGTGTTGGGACGGGTAGGCATGGGGTTTGATCACTCGTTCTCTTATTTTATTTGTATGGACTGTGGAGTAGAGGGCAAGTCCCTTTCTTCCCTAGCTTTCTGTGTTTTGTCAACTTTTGGGGGCAATATAATTCTCGTCTATCTACTTGTGGGCTATGCCATGATTGGCCATCGAGCACCATCACACCAATTTCACAAGCTACTCGGCTTACTTTTCTTTTGCTATAGAACTTTAAATTGGCCGATGGATTTGTGCTTAATAATTCAATGGAGCCCTTTAATAATTCTCTTCTGTTCAAGTTGATGATACTTCGAAAAATAGCCTGAGTCGATATATTATTTAGAACTCGAGTCCATCGTTGTCGGAGAAGACATAAATCTTTATTTTCTGGTATATTCTCGGCAATATTATTCCATGGTGAATATTCTATAAACGTCTTAATAATTGTTCATGCATTGCGTTGTTAATCAATGCCCAAAAAACCGCTTAGCATCTTCATGAGCTTTCCGTTTGAGAAATCTTGATATGAGAAAAGTAAATTAAGTTCAACTAAGGGCATTAATTTATTAAATTTATCTCTGATTTTTTATATTTTCACCATAAAGCATGTCTTATATCGAGGCTAATTTCATTGCTGAGTTGACAGGATTAATGATTGAACTCGGAATATCCATGCAAACTAACATGATGAATTATTTTTTAATGGGAACATTGCCCGTTGTTTTTCCCCTTTCTTTTCTCCGTCCAGATATATTGACAAATCTTGCTTGTTTTCTGATGCTCCACGATCAATCGGCCTGAATTTCGATTGGATTGAACCTCCTTCTAGAGCAGCAGAAAATGATCATCTAGCTAGTTTGTGGAAAATGAAAAAAATAAAATAAACATTACTATATAGAAGTTGTGAGCAATCAATACGTACAATCATGCAAATTGGTAACTTGATTGTTTTTGTATTAGAAAACCAGTTTTGAAAAAACTTTAAAAAATTAATTTTTTATTTTAAATTATTTTGTTGACGTTTTTAAATCTAGTTGAATATTGATTTTAAAAATACTTTTTTAAAAAAATTATATTATTTTAATTATTTTCAAATATATTTTTTAAAAACAACAACTAGTTTTATCACATACATCCTCTTATAGTTAACTATTTTTTTTTTGTTATAGTTAACACCATTTTTTTTTACTTGGCAAGAATTAAGTTTGTATAGGCTTGATTCAAGGTTTTATCGGGTAAAGGATCCAAGTTATTTAAATAGTGTTTGTTATTGTAGTGATAATTATTTTTTAAAATATTTTTTATTTGAAGATATACTAATATATATATATATATATTTATTTTTAAAAGATATACTAAAATATATATATATATATATTTTTTTTTTATTTTTAAAATTTATTTTAACATTAATATATAAAAAAAATAAAAACCTATAAATAATTTATTTTATAAAACTATAAATAATTTTAAAAAAAATATGCAGTCGGCCACAGAAATAAATAAACACTTAACTTTTCCACTATCAAATCAATCTTTACCAAAACAATGATGTTTTATTTTTTGTTTTTTTTTTAATTTTAATTTTGATTCGATCAAGTTTGGTTGAGGTAACCAAGTTGTTAATCAATTTAGATATGACTATATCAATATTAAAAATAATTCAAATTCAAATTTTATTTAATTTGTGTTCTGAATGATTACTTTTTCTTTTGACCAAGTATAATAACCAAGGGTGTTCATTTTCGGTTCGGTTTGGTTTTCTGACCAAGTATAATAACCAGGGGTGTTCATTTTCGGTTCGGGTTTGGTTTTATCAAAAAAAGTAACCAAACTGGAAAAA